GCATGGCATAGACTATTCAGATTTGCAGTTTGAAGAACACCTGCTTGCTTCTGATGATTTCCTTTGGCGGCACAAATTAGCACAAATTTGACAAATAGCTAACCAATGAGTGTTTGCATTATATGACTCATCCAATGACACTAGTTTTCACTAGATGTGAATGGCGGCAATGATCTGCATTGGATGGCGCACATGACGTGAAATAAATATTTATAAACATTAAACTGAAGCCAAAAGTAACGAGTAACGTTTTAAAAATTTAAGGAATAGAAAGTACAGATACTTGTGGGAAAATGTAATGAGTAGAGGTCAGAAGTAGGAAGAAAAATAAGTAATGGAGTAAAGTATAGATACCTAAAAAGTGTAATTAAGTACAGTAAAGAAGTATTTGTTCTTTGTTACTTGATACCTCTGGCCACAACTGATATTAACCCTCTAAAGAATATGACGTTTTCCTGTTGCCTGGTATGTTTGTGTAATTTCCTAGCTCTGTGTGCTTTCTGGTTTAGTTGCTTGGCCTCTGTGTTATTTACAGACACATGATAGGCTAATTACAGATACTGGATTAACCGTGGTTTAATTTTCTTAAAAAATAAATAAATTAATAAAAAAAAAATCAACAAACTTCAATTATTTTCTGTTTAAGACAAACAGCAGTGCACAGATGGCTGGCCCTCTGACCTTAAGGAGGGTTGACTCAGTAGTTGTAGCCAGCAGGTTTTATTATTTTACTCAACAGGTTAATGATCAACTGTTACTCAGGTAACACCTTTCTTAAAAAACTGAGTCACGTGTGGAACGTCTTTCTCCGTCTCTCCTCTTTCTCCTTTCTTTTTGTTCTTTTTTGAAAACCAGACTTTGGTTTCAGGGGGTGCTGCACTCTTTAGCCATGGAGATTTTTTCCACACTGCTGTTACACATTTTCTTGTTTATTTGATTTATTCATTGTCACTATGTCAAATGATGTGAGTGTGGCACTAAAACCCGATACAAGCAAACTGCTGCTGATAGACAGGGGCCTGATGCACAAAGGTAGGACCCGTGGACCAAACCATTTCTTGCAATGGGTTGGTTCAGAAAAAAAGGGCCTTTTTTGCCCTTTAGTACTGAGAAATCTGTGAGAACACAAAGATAATTTTTGTTACTGTCAGATTTTCTTTATATTTGAAATATATTGTGGAACATGTCTTTGGGGGACCTTCAGTCACGGGCCCTTGGAATCTTCCTGTTCTCCCCTACGATGCCCCTAGGTCTAACGGTTATGTTTTTGGCTCCTGTGTTCAGTGCAGGCATTGGCCGGTCAGGGACGTTCGTGACATTGTTGTGGCTGATGCAGCTGTGTGTGAGAGGGATCCAACCTGACATCAAAGCTGCTGTGAAGGACCTTCGGCTGCATCGAATGTGGATGGTCCAGACTCTTGTAAGTCTATCCCGATCAACATTTTTATTGCTATAATTACTTAACAGCCCAATTACCACCCAGTTCCACTCAGGTTAATCACGGTCTTGAAACTATTCACAACAAACAATGAGCAGGCAGGTCTGATTCACATCTTGATAAACAGAATTCATTTGGTTCCAAATGCAGATCCAGATCTGGTTTTATCCAGACATATAGTCTTAAATGCAAATCTAGGGATTTGAACTATATCCTTATTAGCATAGAATATAGTCAGATGCAGTTAATCATTTACTACCAACTGGCAAAAAGTTATCAAAGGAAGCCCAGGAATAAAAATTGTACAATGCGGATCAAGTAAAAGGCTAATCCCATTCCTCAAAAAAAAAAAAAAAAAAAAAAAATTGATTCTGCTGAACAGCTTCTTTACATTTTAGTATCTAACTTTGGATGTGAAAAAAAACATCTAACATGGACATGTTCAGAAACAACTTTCTTTCCTTTTTTAGCCATTTTGGCCAAATTGCATTTGTTCAATCTACTATTCGATGTCTCACTTTGGGATCCGCTTTTAGTGTCAGACAGATGTCGTCATACCAGAATGCCGAACAATGCTGCTACTGCAAAAACAGTTCAAATCATCACCCCTCCAGCACCGTGCTCAACAATAAGTACAAGTTATGCTGATATTTGTTAAGGCTGTATACATACATTCACACAGCAGCACTGAGTACTCATATTCATAGGCTTCCTGTAGTTGCGTGCCTTGCACATCAACATGTGGTAGAAAGCTGTTATCAAACACTACGAATATCCAATTACAACACAATTACTCTACCAAACAAAGCAAAAGGCCTCCTGTTTTAGTTTTGTATAAAAAATGCATTTATAACATCGAGATGAATAAAATATAACTTTTTAAAAATAATTTAAATAAAGTATTGAATATGTCAGCAATGAATTTGAGTGAGAAAATTCATGAATGTTCTGCCAACAGCTAACAGCTAATAAAAAACCCGATATTAGGTTTCACATAAAAATTTAAATGAAAAAAAAATGGTTTTGCATTCATATGACTTGGTTGTAAGCACATGTAAAAAATTAAAAACCCTAATCTAAATGAGAGCACAAAAAGGGACAACTGTAACTTTAGGAGGATTGTGAAGCAAATTCCATTCAAGAGTTTGGCGAAACTTTACAGAACGGGGACTGCAGCTGAAACTGAAGCTTCAAAAGGCCTTACCCAGATATATTCAGGCTGCAAATGATGCATTTCACCTGCACCTGATTTAGGATAATGACAGTCATCTGTTATGGTCTATGGCACTGGTCTAAGGAGAAAAATAGAATTGATTGCCTCTAACAGTGCTTGACATCCTCATAGCCTGACCTAAACCATTGGAATTATTCATACAATGTGTATTATCAGAAGGATGACATGAAACATCAAACCAAACAATGCATATGAGCTTAAGTTTGCTATAAAAGGAAGCTCAGGTGTGCCACAGGCTGACCTGACTGAATCTAGACCATCCTGTACTGATATAAGCAATGCAAAAATTGCCCCAAAGTAATGCATCCACGCTGTAGTGTACATTCTTTTCCGTGGAACATCTATGCATTAAAAATCCTATTTTATTGAACTTATGAACTATTTAAATTGTCATTAGTTATAAGCCATAAAAATCCAAATGAAACTTTTGAAATGTAAACTTGTGTATAATTAATATTTCTATGTAGATTGATATATATCCGACATATTTTAGCTATTTGCTTCAGACCCTTTTCACTTTTCTGACGCATTCCTTGTTTCAAAATAATTTCATAATGTTTTGTGTGTATTCAGGAACAGTATATACTTATTCATCACTGTCTGTTACATTGGCTTGGCGAAGGAGTATCACCAAGGTAAGAATTGAGAAATACGCCCTCACTGAGAGCAGACAGGCAGGATTAGAAGGTGATGCAACCTATAAGAACTGAACATCTCCTCTTTCACGGCAGGCAACAGATGCAGGGACCGGGTTTGATTTCTAACCAAGCCAAGAAGGATCGACCGCAGAGCTCAGGGAGGAGGAAACGACAAAGCTCCCAACAGAAACCTTCGTCAGACCAGCCCCAGAACACAGTGCAGCAGAGTTTTAAACCTGGGAACCTGCTGAGGAGGCTGATACCCTCCTTGTCACAGATGAATCAGGCATCGCAAAATGCCTAAAGACATTTTGAAGAATGCATAGAAGCGCTGAAAAGCATGACATCGGATGTAAAAGAGAAAATACATTCTTCATGCTGCTTAATATTGAACTTCTAAGGGTGTAGCTAATGACTGCAGATACAACGCTGTATGTACACTGAGAAGCCCCGGAGGCAAAGAACTGCCGTGACAACACAGATAAATGTTTTTAACACCGACACAGCAGTTTGTACTGTAACCAGGATGAAAAACTAAGGGAATAATTCATCAGGCTAAACCTGTTATTCTGCTAATCTCCTATTCATGAGAAACGGAAGCTGCTACCTTTGCATCCAGTAAAATACTGCAGGCAGAGCCTTTTTTTTAGGTCAACAAAAAACTTCTGAGCTAATATTCCTGGTGAGGGCAGCTGTGGGGCTTTTTTTTTTTCAATCTCCATTGTTGATAGAGCACTGCTGACATGTATTATATTAACTGTTGCAATAAAATTTCCCATTTTATTCCTTTTATATTAAAACTATCAAGCCCATCAATCGGGTTTCAGTTTGCAGCAAAGACAGACACATTTTGTAGTGGCTGTACAAAAAAGGTCATGTTTGAAAAACACAGGCACTGCCATTCTCCTTAAAGGACTGAAACTCATTACAGTTCATGGAGAAACTACTGGTATTATACAATATAGAACATACAGGGAAAACCCACTGTCTAAGTCTTTAATCATTCAGAGTAGAGTCGACATGAAGCGTTGGATCCGTCTATAATCCTCGATGTCCTTTAGAGATAAAGTTTGCGTCCACAGCGCTTCCTTTGCCACACCTTCACCCTGTGGCAAGTGCTATTAGGTGGGGCCAGCATGTAGCAATAAAATCCATGCTGGATTTATTTCCGGGCTGCAAGGTGGTGCACTTTGTAGCACTGTTGCCTTGCAGCAAGGTTTTGGGTTTGATTCCCCGTCCAGGGTCTTTCTGCATGGAGTTTGCATCTTCTCCCCGTGCATGCGTGGGTTCTCTGGCTTCCTCCCACAGTCCAAAAAACATGACTGTTAAGTTAATTGGCCTCAGGTGTGAGTATGAGTGAATGGGTGCATGTCTCTACATTGCCCTGCGACAGACTGGTGACCTGTACAGGGTGTACCCCGCCTTACGCCTATAAACTGCTGGGGATAGGCACTGACCCAACTGCAAACCTGACGGAAAAGTGGGAGAAGATGGAAGGACTTATTTTCTAACAAGATTCAATACAGGCAAGCTCCAGCAGAGGGTGCACTTAAGCAATCTCAAAAGCTCACCATATCCGAATGAGCAGTTGACTCAATCCAGAAATGTACCATCAGAAAGGATTTACATGACTTTTTTTATATCTAGCATCATCTTTCTAATACAGTTCTCTAATACCACTGAGGTTTTCGCCGTGAGACTGTGTGACCAAGGCAGACAATGAATTAAAAAAAACAAAAAGAAAAGCAGCAAAGTGTAAGCCAACCATGGTGACAATTGGAAATATATTACAGATTAAAACAAGAAAATTAACATTTATACCAGACTATTGGTAGGGTGAACCAACAGTTGGAATAACATTTAAATTAAATTTAGGTCCACTAAAAATAAAGATTAGACTTTAAATCCTTTGGCCAAAAAAAAAAGACAAAAAAATAGGCAACTGCCTCAATGAGACAGATCCTCCTCTGTAATGATTTTATGTTTATATACAGTTTGTGTCCAAGCTAGGCTGGCACATAATATAAACAGATACATGCCACCCCCAAAAAGAAAACAGAAGTGGGAGTAAGAAGAGCAAACTAGTTATAATGAGCTTTCAAAGGCTGGGGGATGAAAAACAGAAGTTCTTTTTTGTTTTTACATCTCCACCGGTCCAACTAGTGGACGCTCTCCGACATGTTAAGGGCTTCCTGGATTTCACGGACAGCAAGGATTCGGGTGAGCATCTGCTCCAGGTGCTCTCTGGGAATCGGTTGTGTTGAATACCAAATGGGGCTGTTTGGAGCCACCACGGGCTCAGGAGTCAGGTAGAAGGTGTCATTGCGACCTTTAGCACTCTGAGGACTGAGGAAACACAAAGGAATAGCATTATCAGGATATTTCCAAGACTACATTTACATTAAAATATAACGCGTTTCTAATCTTGCAGATACAGCAGATAGTTTTACAGGTAAAACTCTGTGCTTAATTAACTGCATGTCAGATCCAGGTTATATTGCCTCTGCAAGTCTAATGATGAAGAACAAAAAAAAAGGTGTTCATATTCTTTAATTGAACTCGACATCTTTAGCCTCTAAAGATGATAATGTACCTTTCTTGCAATACATTGATGCTTTTTTAAAATAAACATAAAAGAGCTGTAGCCATTTATGCTTTGATAACCTTCACGTTCATTAATTTTCTGTTGACTTAAAAACTGGTGCCTCTTTTAAAGGAACGTGCAGAATTTCTCCTTTTCTCCACGTTGTAGCCACTGGAATACAAATTGTGGTATTGGTCACAATCAAAATCTGCCAGGAAACGTCTAACTGGTGGATGAGTAGTTAAGGAATGTTGAGGCCAGAGGTCTCCGACTCCAGACGAGAAGAGCTTCTAGTCTGACCTAGATAATGCTCATCACTCTTCATTTCCTCTGCAGAGCTTAAGGCTGAGTTTACTCCTGCTTTCTGCAGTTTTAAGTGAATCTCAGTTGTATAAAATGTTTTGGTTTTTTTTTTACTCATGAAGTTATCAAACATAACTCAAATGTTTGGTTTACATTAAATTCCCCCAATAACATGTCACTGGTAGGTAAACAAGTCTGCATTCTTCTCAAAATACCTCAGGAGAAGGTTGATCATGTGGTTTTTCTTGTGTTAAAGGGATAGTGATGAAGCTCGGGACTGTAATTTAACTGAAGTAGAGAAGCAATGGGAACAGTGTTTTTACTGTTAATAGAGAGGAAAATTAATAACCTGGATAAATATCAGTCAAAGGAATACCAACATCAGATAAAAAAAACAGTGCATCACTCAGAAATTAACGACCCAACTACATTTGTGTCATTCGAAGATTCTATCAGTGTTTGAGACTTTAAGAGCTTCAGTTGAGATGATATTTTACAGTTTTTATAACCTTTCAGAAAGCCTGACTGACATATATTTTTAAAAAATGAAGTAATTCTTTTGAGAGAACATCACAAGAAAAAACTATTTGGCAGTTTTTGGTTTTTTCTTTTCATTTTTCATGATGAAACACAGCATAACATCTTATCCGCTCAACTCCCAACAATTTGCCATTTTATTTAATGACAGCAACCAAATAGAGAAAATTAATATTTACCATTTGAAGAGGTAGAAATCGTAGAGCTTAATAGGGCAGCGTAGCGGGTTCTCAGGGTCCTCCAGCTGTTCCGAGTACATGTCATCTGTCACTGAGAGAAAAAAAACAGCCAGTCATCCTTACAATGGGGAATTTATTATGAATAATAAATAAACCTTAATATTTTGGATATTTAAAAGAAAGCACAAGGTGATACCTTGGTATTAATACCATGGCCAAACATCAAAATTTGAAAACAGAAAATAATAAATGGCATTGCTACAATTCTGCAAACTGACTGTTATTCATTTGATAATCTGTGACAAAGTACACAATATTATGTATACGTGACTTGAGGACATCATAAATGGGCCTATTTAATGTGGACTCGAGTCACATGGCTTGGATGGAGTCATGAAGTTGAAGATTTTAGACTCCACTTGACAAAACGTAAAAAGACTTGCTACTCGACTTGGACTTCAGCCTTATGACTTGACAAGACCTTCTATTTTCCCCAAAACCCAAAGGTTAAAAAGAATAATCTAAATGCTCCGTATCTCTCATGGTGTCTATGTATGTGCATGAATGGGGTTTGTAGGGTGGGCAGTTGGTCGGAGCCCTAGCCTCTGGAGGCCTACAAAGTCTGAAGACGACAAGAAGGGGGATTTACTTTGGAATGAAATGATACCATGGTAGAAACCCCCTTGTTTGAATTGGGCTTTACACATGATATATCCAACAATAACATTTAAAAATATTACACATGAACTTAAACTGTGACATTATTTTTTTAACTGACTTATGTTTCCCTGTTATTTCTCTTTATGGTCATTACTACTCATACTCGTCATCTGCTGTTTATCCGGGAGCGGTGGCAGCAGTCGCAGTACAGCCTCCTGCAGCTCTGCTGGAGGAAGCCTGAGGTGCTCCCAGGCGAGCCGAGACATAGTCCCTCCATCGTGTCCTGGGTCGTCCCCTGGGCCTCCTCCGGTCGGGATGTGCCTGGAACAGGCGTCCAGGGGGCTTCCAAAAAAGATGTCAGAGCTACCTCAGCTGACTCCTTTCGATGGAGAAGCGGCTCTACTCTAAGCTTCTCCTGAATGACTAAGCTCCTCACCCTATCTCTAAGGGACAGCCCCGCCACCCGTAGAGAAAGCTCATTTCATCCGCTTGTTTCAGGCATGATCCAGATTTATTGACCATTGGTGAGGGTAGGAATGTAGACCGACCGGTAAATCAAGAGCTTTTCCCTTTTGCTCAGCTTTCTCTTCACACCAACAGACCAGTGCAGCATCCATATTATAGCGGCAGCTGTACTGATCTGTTCATCTATCTTGTGCTCCATCCTCCCCTCACTCATGAACAGGACCTTGAGATACTTAAACTCCTTCACTTGAAAATCTTAAGATTAGTTTAACCTGTTACCTTTTTGTCCGATAAACCTCTCTGCTGACTTCAGGTACCGTATGCTGGTGCTCTTGTCTTTGGGATTGTTGGGACTTTTCCTGGTGTGTCTCAGCACCTTCGAGAAGGCCAGTTTTAGATGCTGCTCCACTGTTTTTAGATGGAAATGCCTAGAAAAAAGTAAACCATTAAGCAGTGAGGCAGGCATCAGTTAAGGATTCAGTTTTAAAGCTGTTGGATGACAAGTGTGATGCAGGAAAAACGAAAATAATGAAAGAACTAAATAAATTAATAAATTGATGAGAGGAGGATATAGATGATGGAGCGTTTTTTTAACTATTAAATTGTGAAAATTGTCATGACGAAGAAAAACAACATGCTAAACGGAAACTTCATTTTGAAAAAAAAACCCTGCATTTTTACATACGTTTTTGCGCTTCAATACTTTTTTGGTGTTTTTTTTAGTTGTAACAAAATTAATATATTTCTCAAAACTGCGATGTAAATGCTTTTTTTGGTCTGCATCTGGACCTTAGTGAAGAAAAAGGCCGGAAGTAGTTGAAGGATGATGGTGCCCACTAGATCCATGGCTGAAACATAAATACATCTCATGTGCTTAAATCTGCCGCTGCCACGCTGTATTCAGAATTGTCATGTGAAGAATTGTATTCACGTGTGATTTTCAATGTACCTGCGATTTACTGGAAATACCACATTTGTTTCCTATCTTATTTATTGGGCATAGAGCAGAGTCAGAAATCCTCAGCTTTTAACTTTTCAGGGGTCACTTTTAGGGGATTTGATTATGCACTGATAAAAGACGACTGATTTCTTAAAATATAGTAATCCTTTTTTTTCATTAAATTTCTGTAAAACCGTCAGAGCACAAGAGGTCTTTGAAACTCACTTTGTATTGAAGAACATAAGCGTTGTGAGCAGTGTTGATGGGGAATGAGCTCCCAGCTGTTTACATTCCCACAGCATCTCCTCTGTTACATGACTGGGAATAACATAACCTGCAGAAAGAGGAATAGAGCAGAATAACAACAGCTGGAAGGTTTGTAAAACTATTATGCACGCAACTTTCTTTATAAAGGTTAGCAGAAATAGTTGATTTGTAGGTCATTTTTGCTGAGTACCGAGCAAATGCACACAAAAATAATAAAACTCCTGAAAGCAGAACAAAAACAGCACATGTGGTTGTACCTAGCGGATGGACAGACGGCCTCCAAGGTTCCAAAATCTGATGAAGACTCTGGGCGAAACGAGTATAGTACTGATCAGAGAAGATGTCGTCAACTCGACCGTTATCAAATAGATACTGCAGGGGAAAAAAAAGAGATGCAGCTAATTAGTGGTGTCATTACTTCTAGTCCACTGATAGCACTGATGTTTGGCGAACAACTCAAACACTTCAAATTTTTCAATAAAACAGTCAAAATAAACATTAAAATAATTTAACTATGTCATATTTGGAAAGGCAGCCAAATGCTAGTTCAATATTTATGGAGAAAAATAATAATTTTTTAGTTTTGTTCATAAATGACTGAAATGAAAAGCTCTGAGTGTTGACCAGAAAATGTTTCAACTATGCACAGGGTTTTGGGGGTGAATGAGGATAACTCACTTTTTGTATGCATAGAAATACGTAGTACAGAACATCCGCCTCATAAGATTCTTCTTCAAGCCCCCGAGCCTCAGTTGTCATCAAAGACAGGCCCATGCAGAGCTCAGCAACCGCGCATGACACTAGGTCCTCCTGGAAACGAAGAGCCTGTCGTCCTGAAATCCCAGAGATGAAACTGTTTGAACAAGGTAATGTCTTTATACAGCCTGGTGTTTGTTTTAAATTAACACAAAAAAATCCCTTACGGCCTATTGGAGCAAGTTTGTTCTGGTCCGATTTGTCTAGCTCAGCGTTTTTCCGCTGAGCCCAGAGTCGCCACACGTCCAGCCCCTCCTCTGGTTTCAGTGTGGCGGGCAGCAGTAGCTCCTGTACCTGCACCTGCTGCTGACCTTGGATGTCTACTTCTGCTACGACGGTCTGACCCTACGCATTAAATGAAACAAACCTCAGCCGAGCTGAAATCAAACACCTGCAGGATTAAAGTCTAGTGGATACTGTGTTATTACCTGTAGCTGCTGTCCATCCTGCCCAGGCAGCCCCTGTGTGTGCAACACCTGCTGCTGTGGGTCCCAGATAATAGACTGTGTGGCGTTGGAGTAGCCTTGTACTGCTACGGGAATGTGGATGTTTCCATTCATCAGCTGGGCAGGGAAAAGTGTGTTTGCAGCTAGGGTGTGCACCACTTCTTCTTGGGTGCTCATCCCTGCAGAGCTTGTTATGCTGGAAACCGCCTGCACAGTTTGACTCTGACTAGACGGGCTTTTTAACTTGTCACTTTCGACTGTTACTTGTGTTGGCATTGTGGTCATTGTTGTAGTGTTTGTCCCTGCCACCTGCACCGTCCCATAAGCCTCCTGGGGGATGGCAATATGTGTGACCTGCTCACGGCCTCCAGATCCAGCAGGAGCAGAGTAAACAGGAATGGTCCAGGTCTCACCTGTGGGACTTGTTATAGTCCCAGTGGCACTGTAAAGGTGGGAACTGTCTACAGTTAGCAGGTCTGGCCGCAGGGAAACATAACTTTGCTGCTGCCCCTGACCCTGGGGGATAGCCAGGACTGTGGCTACCTGCTGACCTGGCAGGGCATAGGACACTGTGATGGGCATGTCCACCTTACGCTTTTTGGCTGGCTGCAGGACCCCTGCTGCTTGGGATGTGGCAACTGTGGTCCCCATAACCCTTCTCTCTGCACTGTCCTGCTGCTGAGTGGGTGAGAGGGCACCAACGGTCTGGATCTGGATCTGTTGTCCACCTGCCACAGCGGCCACAAGCTGGGCTTGCAGCTGGAAAACACAGGATTGAATGCAATAATAAAAACACTTTTCTACTGTGTTTTACATCTAACAATATTACAAATTCCCACTGCACAAGCTGTACCAATAATAAAGCATGACAAAACCTCAGCTTTATTAGAACATGGGAAGAGATACTCCAAGAAATCAACTGTTGGTCAGGATCAGATTTTGCATGAAGCTGCTGACCACGGGGTCAGCTTGAAACAAAGCATATGTTGACATATAGGCACAAATACACCCTAAATAAAGATGGGAATTTTAAGCATCAGTAGGTCTTTTAACTGGCACTCTTAGAATTTGTTAAATTCCTATCCTGTGACATCTTGTGAGCTAAATGCATTCCTCTAATATCATTAGTTTGTGAAGATACCTGTTGTTGCTGTTCCTCTGTTAGGTCCCCAGGCTGAATCAGCTGTGCAGTGGTTACACCTTGCAGCTGCTGATGGGAGCCAGCAGGCACTTGGAGAACCTGACCAAGCATCTGACCTTGCTGCTGTCCTTGAATCTGCACCTGAGGATAAGTATAAAACTGAGAACATTAATTAGAAATATACTTCCAAACAGAAAATGCTAACATAATGTTATAGTTTGCAGACCTGGACAATCTGCTGCTCTGCATTCTGTTGGACAGACTGCTGCTGAGATGTGGACTCCTGCATCTGCTGCTGCGGTTGGACCTGGACCTGAACCTACAAGAGAGGGCAAAGTTCTATTTTCTACAATAACTACAAATTAATAATAATTGTAGGTCTGAGGTCAAGGTTTAACTCTACAAAAGAAATCAGGAGTCCCCCCACATCCTGACTTCTCTAAACCTGCATTAATAAGACATTTTGTAAGTATTTACAGAAGAATATCTTTAAAATGGGCTTTATTTGACCCTTTATGACTAAAATGTTGTTTGAAGACTGATATCTCAGTTGTTCAGTTTTGATGCATCCATCAGGCGTCCATGTTAAATGGGTCCAACCTAGCAACGTTGAAGCGGATGCATTCTGGATGGATGCTGTGGATACTTAGAAGCAACCAGCATCAAGCTTAACTCAGAAACCAATGACAAATCCAGGTAAGGTGAAACAAGTAAAAAAAACAACAACAAACAAAAAGAACCTTGTTAAGTACATGCGAGACACACGAGTTAAAAACAGTTCTGCAATTCTGTGTTTGGCCACGGGTGGCAGTATCATTAGAAAACTCTGTAATGTCTCTTTAAATGTCACACTGGTGTTTTTTTCAGAAAAATGCTACACATATTATTGTTTATTAAATGCTGTTGGGGCTGACCATTAACAATAACTACAGCTTTTAATTTAGGATACAATGCCGCCAATCCTTGTTGTAACCTTAAGCATCTTGGACAGCACAGGGTCAGATCTGCTGCCAAGCATGTTAACAATATAATGAATAAAGTAAATTATAACAATATTAAAACATGCAGTATGTTGTATTTTGTTATTTTAATAGGTTGATTTTACACATAGTGACAATCTAATAAACAAACATGAATGGTATACTGTGCAGGAAATATAACTATTTTTTTATGTCTGCAAATACCTTCAAAAAATGTGTATCATAATTTTATTTGCATTGCTGGGTGTGACCAAGTCTTGCTTATTTACCGGGCATGCCAGTTCCAACAGTGACCCAGCCACTTCTGTGCTGTCTGTATAGATGCAGTTTGCCTCTTGTTGGTAGACCATGGTCGTAGTGGTGGTTGTAGTGTCTCCACTTTGTTGGCTGAATTCCTGCAGGGCATCAGGACCTTTGCTGGCCAAGGACTCCAGAAACTCCTTCATGCGATGCTGAGGGATGCTCCGAGCTTTCTGTCTCACAAGCTCTTCATAGGAGCTGGAGCCGTCCATGGAATTATTCATATCTGCAGACTGTGATCACCCAATTGTGGTGAAAATCTGTAGAAAATGTAGTTGTTTATAAGAACATTTTAGAATTCCAATTTAAAAAAACATATTACAGACATGGTGACTTTAAGGGGTGATAACACAATTTATCACTAAATTCGTACTGAAAGGGAGCAAAACGGCTGGTGATAACAGGGACAGAGATTGTAATAGGAAAGGGTTAATTCGAGTTGAGTGTAAACGAGCAGGGACAAAAGCGCGCTCACTTTCCAAATCTGACGCAGCAGTCGGTAACAGCTGAATGATGAAACCGTCATGCTTAAAACTAGATTTATTTCACTGTGATGTCTACATTTGAAGGCTTGAACAATCGTTTACCAAGCTATTGATTACACAACACGCTAGGTTAGCCAGGTACATTGCTAACTAGCCGCGTGTTGTTTCCAAAATTTAGCTTTTCACTGTTCCGTTGAAAATAAACTTCGAATCTAGCACCTCAAATGGAGGCGGCGTTACTGCCTATCAGCATGTTGTGTTAAAACCCACAGCCCCTGCCTAACCCCCTTGTGTCGGACCTATTTTTTTCTGATTACACTAAAGCTAACAGGCTAAAATTAGCATGGACACTGGCTACCTCTCTCCTAAAAAGGTCGAGCTTTAAGTCGTTCCCAGCGCTCCTCTTCCAAAAAGCATGAGAGCAAAATGCTTTTCGTTTTTCTTTTCAACAGCCAATTAAAACTTTGTATTTTTTCGTTTGCTGTAGTATTTTTCTTTTTTTTTTTTTTTTTACCTCTACATTCATATTCCGTTGGGCGCCATCTTACAACAGCGTCCTCAAACCAATGGGCTACCGATTTGCAACTCAGAGGTGTTATCGCGGTATTCACGCCATGTAGCATCGCGAGATGTTTTGTTTGCCATGTAGTTTGTTAAAGGAGACTCATGCGAGCTAAACACCAGGCAAGACAAAGTAGATGTCACGCCACCTTAAAACACATTTCTCCCAGAAGGACGCTCTCAGTGGTTCACGGGCTTCTGAATCTTTTAAGGTAGTCCTGCAGAGATTCGCCAAATATTCAGTGGGGTCCTCTGAAGCTATGGCAAGGCGAGAGTTAATTCCCACGCATTTAATCCGGCGTGGCTTGATTCCCACGTTTTCTAATGTTATGGTTTAATATGGTTGGTTTAATATAGTATCATATGGATTTGTTACTTTAAAACTTCACACAATTGCTAAACTAAAGTCAAATGTACTCGGTCATTGTTTACATCAGTTGTAGATGCTACAAAAAAGCTTTATCAAAGTTATCATAGCATAAAATAAAACAAAAAAAATTAAAAACTGAGAAGAATGTGTTGCATTTTGTCTGACCAATAGTATGGATCCAGATAAGTAGAATACATTAAAACTTAATTAATTGATAGAGTATGTATGATTTTTTTAAATTAATGTATAACTTAAAAGGAACAAATATGTTATTTTTACATCTCTTTGCAGGTGATGAAGCAGACTGAAGATGTTTCATCTTTTCTCCTTTTTTTCCCTTTCCTGTTCTATTGGAGTGTCCATATAATCTGTAATATTCCCTGCATTAATTATAATAAAGCTATTTATATGCAAAAATCAAGCGGAACACTATGGTGATAGCCGTACTGCTCCACTTGTGAAAGCAAAATCTGTTGGGCTCTTTTTTTGGCATCAAGGCAATTATTCTTGTCACATTGCCAGACAGAACACTGTTCAAGAAAAAAATAAAAAGGTACAAATATTTTTTTTTTAATCCAGGTACAGAGCAGCGATGATGGAAAGATGTATTTCTGTTAAAGGTGTTGATTTGTGGAATAAGTTTATTAGTGAGTTAAAAATAGCTGAAACTTATTCTATGTTTCATAGAAACCTTAAGGTCATTTTGATGAGTCTATAGGACAGTGGATAAGCTGATGTATAGCTGGTTTTGTTGCTCGTTTTCTGTGTATTGCTGAACATAGCTGAGTTATCTGAGAGTTGAATAAGTAATACTTTATTGAAAATGGGGGCAGATAATATAAGTGTTTACTTCTTTCTGCGTCTTTTCTTTCATTCATGATTTCAGTTCTCACCTATACAGGTATGTTTTTTAATGAAATAAATAAAATGTTGGCTATGGGAAGGAAAAGGGGTAAAATTAAAATATATTGTTAGATTTCCATTCTCTCCTGTTTTCCACTTTAAAGGTGTTGAACTATTTAAATCCATTATCTATCTAATCAACATGCATTTATTCATTTGTTTGTTAGCCATTAAAAATTGAATCCATCCGTCAGTCCTTGAGTCATCAGTATATTCATCTATTTTCTTCATGCAACCATGAATATATCATCCAACCAGCAATCTCATCTTTTTTTCCCCCATTATTTATCCACCAATATACATGAACATTGTCCAGCTGTCCATCTTTTGCTAACCTGTTTTTTTTTTGTTTTTTTTTTATCAATGATCCATCCCTCATCCAACAGTGTGTTTTTTGCTG